AATCTTTCTAACGATCATCAAATTACTACCCTTCTGATATTTGCACCCATTGACTACAATCTTTCCAAGCACGATCGTCTGACTATGGTCCCTTTGACCTCAATCGCCGAGCTATAGTCCCTCCAATCTCAGTTGCCCAACTATTGTTGCTCCAACAACATTCACCTATCGATTTTGGCCAATCTGACTATGTCACCTAACTATGGTCCCATAAATCTTAGTCACCCAACTATAGTCCCTGACCTCCATCACCTAACTACAGTCCCTAACCTCCATCTCTCAATTATGGTCCTACCAACCAAATGAATTGGTCAACATTCTCTTGAGAATAGCTCTCATGTCATTGGAGTTTTTTCAACTCCAACTATGCATTGTGCTCTATATGATCTATATTTGCTACATTGAGCCAACACTTTCCCTCAAGGAAGGGCATCATTTGTAATTAACAACACGCACTAGTGGATTAGTTTCAGTTAGGTAAGGACCCGTAGTTTTTTCCCTTTCAGGGCTATCCACATAAAAATATGGTGTATCTTATCATTGTAGCACCCCTATCTCTTATCTGTATGTGTTAAATCTTCATACAAAGCTAAGACGCCAAACTCTATATCTCTTTAAAACTGCGAATGTTCCAAAATGCAACAAATACATTATTCTTCTCCTGTACTCATCAGTTACAAGACAATCTATATATTATTTTAAATAAATCACTACATCTATCATTAAATGGATATTCATTACGCTATATCTATCGTATGCATTTATATCATATTCCTATCAAATGCAATACATCAAATATCAATCTTATCAATCATATTGGACTTATCTATAGTGTTGTATGCCTATAAGTGTATGCATATCATACAACATCAATATCATATGCAATATATATCATGTATATTACATAGTTCATGTGTATCATGTTCCCTTTTATCAATCTTATAAATAATATCACTTTCATGTGCAACCTATATCATATCCAATGCAATATATTTGATGTAGTATATTATGTATAACATGTAATTCACATGTATCATATGTCTGTGTATCAATCTTATCAATCATACCATATGCATGTCCTATAATATGTGTCTATCATATTATATCATGTCACTTGCGTAATACAAGATAACATGTCTCTAGATAATCTAAATCAATCAATTATTTTTAGCCTTTTTTTTTACACACATTTGACATCATAAGAAGCATAATAACAAACATCATATATAGGAAATGTAACTATCATTATACTGATCAGTATGCCTGTAATATGCCAAAAAATGCTTATTTAATCAAATGAATAATAAATGTATGCATAGCATGTATTTCATAATAAGGACAATATACATACTCAAGATCATTTTAAACATAGTGTTACACTATTCATTTCAATTAAAATAACATAAAAGCAAAATCTTCCAATGAAATTTTAATATAAACTAGCTAAATATTTAAGGTGGTGATATATATATCACATATAAAAAAATTAAATGATGAAAAGTCATTAAAATGAGAGATATTTTATTTTTATCATCTTTAGGGTGAAGAAAATAAATAAAACAGAAAATCATTAAAGACAGAACTAGAATTCAGGTTACCTACCATATTCAAAACACTTTTCACAACAATGATAAAAGGAAATACATCTTGATCCATGTTTTCTCATTCCTCTTCCTTCCTAACTCACTCTTATTTTCTCTCCCCTTCTCTCTCTTCTCTCACTCGACTAAGGATGGGGGAAAGGGACAGATGGCCTAGATATTTAACACAATGATTTTATATATTTTTATTTAAAAAAACTTAAAACCTAATGTCACAGCATTAAATACCGAACACCAAAGCGCTCCCTCAAATTAAAAAAATCTAAGAGCTTGGCATCATAGTGTCCCAAGCTCAGTGTCGCAGCACTCACTCGCTTTTTACTATGAACCAAAACAGACCAAACAGAACAGATCACTGGTCACATCAATCATCAATCAAATTATGCACTTATTTATTCTTTTTTGAAAAGAGCAATTAATGCATTAAAAGCAAAGGAAACAAAAAGAAACAACTACAAAGTAGATTCCTCCTTCAATAACTTCACAAATGAAGAAGGAATCTTATTCAAGCAAAGTTCTTCCCAAATAAAATTGTTAGCCTAGGCATACTTTGCACACCAATCGGCCAACCTGTTTCTACTTCTATGAACATAAGAGAAAATAACAAAATTAAACTCTGAAAAGAAATCAAAGTCTTCTTCATCCTTGAAGTCATTAATCCTTGCCTTTTGAAGCCTTTTAATGGAATTTGCATTATCTCCTTCAATGATAGCTCCATTGTATTTGAACATCCAATCTTTAATGATTTCTTTCAAAGACTTGATAGCTAGAAGCTACAAATGGTAAACATCCCAATGGAGGTATTTTCTTCCAAAGGCCATTAAAAATCTTCCCTTGCTATCACGTATAACACCTCCAATACCAGCTATATAAGAGTTATCAAGAGAGGCATCTAGATTGATTTTTAACCATTCGGGTGGAGGGGGATGCCAAGTTTTGGACAGCTTAAGGGGCTGGTTAGCATCCCATTGATCAGAATAAGCATTAACAATCAATTTAGATAAAGAAGAATAGCAAACTGCATTAGCAGCCACCGAGATAGCACCTTCAACCACTTTATCATGTGTAAACTTGTTTCTAGCCTTCCAAGAAAAAAATAAGACATTGAAGAACAAATTGAGAATCATACCATTTTGAGCTACTGTTTGATCCAACCAACTTGAGCATTCTTGAAAGTTTTCAAAGAAAGGAATTCCAAATCCCCATTTGTTAACATGAGAGAACGCCTCCTTAATCTTGGAACATTTGAAAAGAATATGTTCCATATCTTCAATGTCGTCCATACACCTTGGACATATTTCAGTTCCTTGCAATCTTCTATGAACCATATAATGGTAAGTTGGAATAGCTTCCTTGAATAGTCTCCAGCAGAAAATTTCCACCCTTGGGCTTAGTTTAGCTTTATTCATCCATTTTGAGTATTTACACTCAGGCTGGTTTTGAAATCTGGCTTCAACAATCATACCAGAAATTGATCTCCCCGATCTATTGTGAATCAACTCTTGTTTATCCTCCCGTTGATTACACATTATATTTGTGTGTAAAATGAGTTCCAACATTTCACTACCAAATAACTTCCTCAATTCAACCACATTCCATTCTTTGTCTTCAATGAACCTCTCCAGCAAAACCGGTTCATCTCCTTGAGGTACAACAAATGAAGGCCATTCATTTAAGCTCCTATCAAGCAGCCACTTATCTTCAAATACATTAATAGAAGACCCATTAGCCACACTCCATTTTAAAAAGGGCTGAAGAAATTTACCTCCATCAGTTATGATTTTCCATGAGGAAGATACATTCCTCTTTAAATTGTCTTCTATAATCTTGGACTCGTATTTAGGAGCCAATAATTTGAATACAACAACATCATCAAGCCTTTATCCCACTACGTGGGGTCGACTACATGAATCTTTTTTCTCCATTATGTCCTATTAAAAGTCAAATTCGTGTTTAAATCTAATAAAGAAAGGTCATTCCTAATGAATAAAAAAGAATTTTTATTCAAAAATCTCCATGCAAGTCTTGCTCTCAGTTCAACCACTTTGGAGGTAGGTGAGCACAATCCCCTTCCACCTTTATCTACAGGTTTGCACAACTCCTCCCATTTTACATAATGAATGCCAATTTCACCATTGGGCTTATTCCAAATAAAACTCCTGCATATTTTATTAATTTCTTCAAGAATGCTGATAGGGACCAAGGAATGAGTGCTGTAGAAAGTTGGGATAGCCAAAGTGACTGATTTCACTAAAGATATCTTTCCAGCCAAGGATATGAGCTTGCTTCCCCAAGTGTTGATTTTCTTTAATGATTTCTCAATGATGAATTGATAATCATTAGCCTTCAATCTTTTAAGTGCCATCTTGATTCCAAGGTAAGTAAATTCTTTTACTTCCTTGATACCCAAAGTTCTTGTTATACTCCAGATTTTCCCTTGTTTATACATTGACCTGTCCAATTGCTGAAATTGGATAGGATTCCTTTAACCTCCAAAGCCACCTTCTTGTTAGCTTCAGAATATAACAAAACGTCATCTGCATATAGCAAATGTGAAATCCGAGGTCCATAAGTAGAGATGTTAACTCCAATAGAAGTCAATTCAAGAGCATTTGAAAGAAGCTGGGAACACAAAATAAAAAGAAATGGGGACAATGGGCAGCCTTGTCGAAAACCACTCTTGGCTTAAATCCATTATGATTGGCTCCCAATGATAATAATTGAAAACCTTGGCTCCAACACACATTCCAAATTTAATTTGGAAAACAATGGAGGGAATTCAAAGTATTTCAAGACTCCTTCAAGAGTATCCCAACCCATAGAGTCATAAGCTTGTTCCATATCTATTTTGTAAGCTACTAAGCCTTTAATAGAATTTGAAAACCTGAATTTGTGAAACACCTCTTGAGAAATCAAAACATGATCTGAGATAGATCTCCATTGAATGAATGTCGCTTGCTCCTCTGAAATGACTTTGGGAATAACCAAGTTGAGCCTGTTAAGAATAACTTTAGCCGCCACTTTGTAAACAGAGTAACAAAGACTGATTGGCCTAAAGTTGAAAGGAATCAAAGGATTTGAAACTTTGGGAATAAGCACTGTCAAGGTATCCTTCCAAGACTTATCCATTTCTCCATATTATAGAAAATAACTGATTGCATTTAAAAAATCAGTTTTAATAATGTCCCAATAAGATCTCAAAAATGAGTATGTGATTCCATCACTACCCGGTGCAATGTTAGCTCCCAATTGTTTAATAAACAACTCTACCTCTTCCACCGAGAATTCTCTATCCAGCCAAGATTTGTCACCACAATTCAAGGTAAAGATCGGCTTAGGCCAACCCTCCAACGTGCATTCCCTATATCTCCATTTTTGCTTAAAGAAACGGATCAGTGTTTACTCAATTTGATTTTGTTCTTCCAGAACATTACCATCCTCATCCTTGATCTTCACAATGTTGTTCAACCTTCTTTTTGCACTAGCATATGAATGAAAAAATTTAATATTGCAATCTCCATCAACCATCCATTTGACTTTAGCTCTTTGTTTCCACCATGTGTTCAATCTAGCCAATGTAGAATTCAGCACCAATACCTTGGCTTCTAATTTCCAGCAGTCTTCATCAGAGAGACAACCCATTTCAGCTTCTTGATTTTGAATTTCCAATATATCTTCCATCGATTTATCTTTAGATAAATTCAGGTTAACCTTCTTAGCCTTACTCCAAAAGAATAGAGATCTAAGAGATCTTCCAAATTTAGAGTTTAAAATATGTGCATGACTTCCCTGATAATTAATAGCCCAAGCCTTCTTGACCACCTTGATTATAGCAGGATAAAAGACCCACACATCCTCAAACTTGATAGATTTCACGGTTGGTAGTTTAAAGTTGAGGATATTGAGGATGATGGGACAATGATCAGAAGCTACTCTAGCTAAGTGCTTAACAATCAATTGAGAAGATAAATTTAATGCAAATGAGTTAAGGAAGCACCTGTCCAGCCTTTCCAAGATTCAAGCTCCTCCAATTTTGTTATTGCACCAAGTGAACCGGGGTCCAATGAATCTTACCTCATGGTAATCATTATTGGAGAAGAAGGACTCCATTTCTTTAGATCCTTGAGTATATTGAAACCTTTTACCTCCTTTTTTGTCTTCCCTTGAAGTGAGACAGTTGAAGTCTCAAGCAACCACCATGGGAAATCCAATAGAAGAATAGATTTCCAACATCTCCCAAAGTTCTCTCCTTTTACAGCATTCTTTATTGGCATAAACTATAGCCACCCTCCATTTGTTGTTATTATTAATCAATAGATCCCCAATGATCCATTGATTTGAAGAATCAACCATTGTGAAATCAGCTACATTTGCATTCCATAATGCAATAATTCCACCTGATAATCCGTTAGAGGAAACCATAACATAGTTTCATCCATCACCAATAAGAGAATTAACTTCTTTCCTTTCAAAAGAGGACAATTTAGTCTCCAATAATCCCAAAAAAAATCACATTATGCAATCTCACAAATTCTTTAAGGAATAGAGAAGCACTCCTCTTCTTTGCTCCTCTACAATTCCAAAAAGCTAATGAATAAATTAATGAGTAATGGGGGATTGAATCCCCAAAGTACCTTTTGCTTCCATTTTCATTCTTCTGCTCCTCAAATTTGAACTAATAGGACCCAAGTCCTTCAATTGCTTAGATTTTTTCTTCTTCACTGTAATGGATACATCTTCTCTACAATGCACCAATGGAGTTATGATACTACTAGACCCAGTAGCTATCTTATCTGAAGGTTCTTCCATAACTTGGTCTTCAACAGAGATTTCTGGAACTATTTCCCCCTCTTCCACATGATTGCCCAATATACTGAATCTATTGCCATTAGATTGTCTTAGATTGCTCACACCACCTGGAATATTAATTCCATAATCAGAATCATGCTTTGGTTGATCTGCAACTATCACTTCCAGATCAGAGTTTTTGGACACAGGAGCATCAGCAACAACTTGTTCAGCTACTGTATTCTTCATATCAGCATTTCCAGAATTCCTTGTAGCTTCTTTTTTCTTCCACATATTTTTGTTAACTATCTGATGAGGATGGTTCTGAACTTGATTTTGCTTTGGATAATTGAATGATTTCCTTCCTCGATTCACTATTAGCCATGGCCCATAACTAGAACCCTCTATAGTCCCATCCTTTATGTTTTCAGGTTGTACATGGTTTACTGCATTACTTGTTTCAGAGACAGAAGCCTTCTCCGAATTGAATTTATCTTCTACACCTTCTTTACAACCTTTTATGTCGTGACCAATTAGACCACACTTGAGCAAAAGTTTGGAACTCGTTCATACTCAATTCTTTGGTAGAATCTCACAGCTTTCCCTTCAATCCAAACGCCAAGAGGAAGCTTGCTATCCAGCTGGATTCGGACACAAACTCTACTGAATTCTCTCATTCCCCATTGGAACATATTTCCATCAATCAAATATGGTTTCCAACCAATGAAGCAATTCTACAAAGATTGATATTATCCCAACATTGAAGAGGAAGATTTGAAAATCTGATCCAAATCGGAGTTGTCAAGCCTTTTAGAGAGTTTGGAGAAAAAGTTTGGGACCATTTGTCCATCCCAATAATCTTCCCGTTGGAAAACCATGGTTCATTTGTCATCACAGCTTCCATATGTTCTATTTCATAAAAGGAACATAGCACCCATCCCATGCCTAGCATAGTTAGATGAAATTTTCCATACTACATCCACTGTCTCTTGAGTTCAGAGCCGATAACTCATAATGGAGGATCTCCTCCAAATACCTTGATGACAATTGAGTTACAAAGCTTGTCTAAATTATCTTTCTCGTTTTGCTCATGCAATTTCACATTCACACCGTCTTCAGCTATGAAGTTGCCCAATTGATGTTATGAAACTTTGATATTCTCCTTTTTCCTCCATGCATTCTTCAATTCTCCATCATCATCTCCAATCAGGCATGGAACAGCCTCTCTACAGATTCCCTTATCAGCTGACTCCACCTCTCTAACTTTCAATAAGTCAGAGAATAAGATTTTCTCTGGTTCATCATTCATCTTCTGTGTAGTTGAATTCTTCTTCTTTTCCAGGTTCTACATATTTGCAGAGCTTAGACTTCCCAACAAGCTTAGAACAAGTGTCTTCTTCTCCTTGCCGTTAACTTTTCCATTCGATGAGGGGCTTTCTATCATAATTGATTTGGAAGACGGCGATACATCTGAACCTTCAGAAGGTGTCAATGCAACTCTGTCTTTGAAAATTTTTTTAACATCCTCTTCAATAACTATGCTTTTCTCTTTTCCGATAACCTCCGGTTCTCCCCTAGGTACAAAACCTCCTTCTTTAATAACAATTCGTTTGTTGCCTTTGGATTTATTAATCAGACTAAATTCAGTTTTTGTTAAGATAGTTGCTATTTGCATGTTTTACATTTTTTCAACTTGAATAGTTTTGATGATTCCAAACATTATTGTTCATATGTGTACTTATCTCCTAACAATTTTAGAAGATTTGTATTTGCTCTTGTGTGTACTAACATTTCAGGAAAATCTAACTACGAAGACTTCAAATCTAAATTCAGCATGAGATACTTTGTGAATTTGAAGCTTGTATTTTTCTTTGAAATAAACTTAAAAGGGAGTGATTGTAATTGAGTGAATAAAAATATGCACACACACATAAGGAGATCATATAAAATTTTTACTGATCGTACGGGACGATATCAGTTCGTACGGGACGATCAGACAGTTATCTCCTATTAAGATTACATGGAACAAATAGGAACTGGGCAGAAAAATTTTCTTAGTCCTATTCGACCAGGACGAAATTAAATATCGTCCAGGACGATCTGCTCTCTGTAAAATTTTCGTCCAGACGAAATTAAATATCGTCCAGGACGATCTGCTCTCTGTAAGAATTTCGTCCAGACGAAATTAAATATCATCCAGGACGATCTGCTCTCTGTAAAAATTTCATCCGGATGAATCAATATTCGTCCAGACGATACCACTGACTTAGAATGATTTTTCTGCAGTTTTTGGAACCGACCTTGTAATAACCGTTCGTACCGGACAAACTTTGTTCGTACGGGACGATCAGTTTGTACGAAAATATTTCGTACACATATACAAACAGGTTCGTTTCAAGGCTTTTAAGTAATATTGTCAAGGACGATCCACGATCGTACGGGACGATCAACTGCGTACAGAATTGAAAACTTGCAGTTTTTAGGCTGTTTTTCTTGTCTTTTGTATATATAGTCCAAATTAGACTGCCACCCAATCTTTTTGTCATTTGATCTTTGTGCCTCTTAAGAGAATAGCCAAGGAGAGAGTGTAAGAGTGCATTCAAAGGAGGATTCCTACCACTGGAGCGTGAAGGCTTCACTTGAAATTTAAAGGTAAGAATCTCTACTTATGAATTGGGATTATTCGCTGCCGACACTTGGAGAGTGTGAACAGCCGAAGGGTTCGCTGCCAACACTTGGAGAGTGTGAACAGCCGAAGGGTTCTCTGCCCACACTAGGAGAGTGTGAAAGGACGGAAGGTTCTCTGCCCACACTATGAGAGTATGAAAGGACGGACGGTTCTCTGCCAACACTAGGGATTGTGTAAAAGGACGACTGTTCTCTGCCGCACCGGGTAGTGGTAAAAAGAGTGTTTTGTGAAGGCTTCTCCGCCTTGATGTGGGTGCAAAAGGAGAGTCGCTATTGGTATTAGTGTAATACTCAGAGGGTGCCTCTAGGGAGTGGATGTAGGTCTGGTTTAGACCGAACCACTATAAATCTGGTGTCATTTACTTTATTGTTTTTACTTTTCTGCATTTTATTTTTGGTTTAAAAAACTCTGTGGTTGAAAAACATTTTCTATAAAAACTTAATAAAAATTTTCATTTCGGTTCAACACATCTTCAAAGAGGGTTTAAATTTTTAAAATACCAATTCACCCCCACCCCCTTGGTAACCTTGGGACATTAACTTAGGTCTAACAACCTATTTACTAGACTCAACAGTTTTTTCATCTCCGAACGTCGGAAGTGAGAGCATTGGACAGGATGAATCATTCATGACCATCAGAACAGAACGACGATCCTCCAGAGTTCTGCCAGCAGGAAGATGCCGGTGAACGTCCGCCGCCATCGATCTCCGCAACTCCCGCGAAGAGAAAAATTTGAAATCCCGTGAAAAATTAGAACTGTTTTATCAGAGTTTCTCTCACTACTTTCTCTCACCAACCCTGAAGTATTGACATGATATGCACTCATTTATTCACACGTGTATGAATGTCAATCAATTGCTCATATAATGTGTGGAAAATAGAACCACACCAATTCGATTTGGAAACTCTTGTTTTTGTGGTCGAAAGTTGTATTGATAATGGCATACCATCTTAAGAGATAAACATGATATTCTACAATGGATTCAAGGAAAAAATTAGGGTTTTAAAAATATTATATCTATGATCAAATACAATTCAAAGAATAATATGTTATCTTGAGAGATGAATATGAAATTCCATAAAAAGCATTGAAAAATAACCGAGTTTTTAAATTTGTCATCATTGTAATCAAACACATCCAAGAGAATAGTATATCATATGAAAAGAAGAATATCATAATCTATGAGAGTTTAAGAAAATGGATGAATTCTTCAAAAAAATGTACCATTTCCACTATCAAATGTAACAGATAGAGTATCACATTATCTTAAGAAATAATGATAATATTATTCTACAATGACATTTTAATGCAGAAATGGGTTTTGGAAAAGACCATCTATGTTCCTAGAGATTTTTCTCCTATTTTATTATAATAGAATAGGATTTGTTTTTTATTTAAAGTTCATAAGTCTTCATAAAGACAAGCTCTTCTAGTTAATTATATTTTAAGAGGGCACTCTTAAGAAAACTCTCTATTAAAATAGTAATTTATATCCTTTGATTATAAAGTTTAGGACAAGCACTAAAGTGGGAATTTCTAAAGGAGAAAGCTAAGTGTTAAATAGTTCCTAGTGAGAAAAAGAGAAAAATATGGGGCACCCGATTCTAGGAAGCTCAGAAGTAAACCCAATCT